CCCATCAATGCCACGACTTTTACAAAAGCGATGTATCCTATGAAAAATAAATTTGTGACATTGTCAAATAAGCAATTACTTATATCTTTGGTTTCAAACTACTCGCTGAAAGATCATATTCACAAGAAATTTCTAAGGGCCCAAATTTTGGAAACTGATTAGGCCTTTTGCTCGATGTTTGCTTAAACCAGTCTCTTAGGTGAAAAACATTTTTCAGATCATCAAATTGCATGTTCACTGTCTCAGATCGTCGAGCGTGCATCCAAACTGCAAGTGTTGGCGTTTTACACCAGGCCTCTGTGTTTCTATCCTCGAAAGTTTCTAACAAGGAATGAAACTGCAGTCTCTCGGTCATGGCTCATATCCTGTCTTTCATGTCTATCGAAAGTCGTGCTATACTAACACTCCAGATTTGGAGAAAATAAGTAGAAGCGTTCTACTTTCAAATCTACACGTGCGATGTCAAATGTTAGGGATAGGAAACAGAAAATGTGAGGGGATGATAAAAATGTCACTTTACCTGGTTCAAGAGGCATGAAATGGTCCTCGTGAAGATTCCCTGGCTTGCCTCGTAACTCGTTCAGCCTGTCTAAACAGAAAGAATAAATTGAAAAAATACAGCTGACTTTGAAGTATCAAAGTGGTGGTAGGAAGCTATAACTTTTAGCTGTACCTCAATTAATACTCGGTAAGTAGTGCGGATATATCGAGTCATAACTCCTACTTTATCATCAATTTTTGACGGATAAGGAGTAAGAGTGTGTGGGGAAAGAGGCAGTTCAAACATTTGAAAGTTTAAGGAACCCATAACTTGGTGTCAGTCTAAAGTCGGAACCAACTGGCACCATGCAATTTCACTTAGTTTCGCTGGTTGTTTCTTCTTGGTGTCCTACTTAGTACAAACTATTTTGGAGTGACTTGTTTGATGAGTCATGTCAACCAGCTTTTAACCCGGCCTAAAATGCTGCAACTATTTAAGCTGGAACGGTTTGAGTGATGCTGAATTGGAAAAATTCAACCCACCAACTCATGTCAGTCCAAATTGTTGTAATCTTTTGTCATGTAGAGTCCTTTGCGAAACATTTGAGTTTAGGAAAAAAAGTCAGCCTTTAGGTTGCTGGCCCAATAATGACTTCCGTCATACACAACCATGACTATTTCGAAGTCATCTTTCATTTCGCGCGTATTCTAGTATCCCTGAGACAGCTAAGGTCGGGGGTTACTGATTGTAAGGTATATTTTCTGCTTAGGAATCTACTCACTTTCTTTAGGAGTCTGAGAATCCAAATCGGGAAATACTCTTGAGTTCTCGAAAACTTCTTTGGCTCCGTCTGAGGAGAGAGTTAATCATGTGTGAGGATCTTCAATAAAGGAGATGTAATTCATAGACAGTCCAGTATGAGAAAAGATAAATATAAAAAAGCTAAGACTTCGAAATAGATGATAATGGGGCAATTTACCAGCTAGACTCGCATTAGAAAATCCAATACCTACAACAAGAGGCAAAAATAGTTGGCACGCTTCCCCCTACTAAGTGGTCGACAATCCTCCACTCAACACGATGGAAAGCAATCTTATAATTCATCTCTAATACGTTATTTAAAAGTCCCATTTTGTAACCCCAGGCAACAGTGAAATGGGGGAAGAGGGGGAAATTAATGAATGGATAAAAAAAATTCAACAAATAGTCGAGCGTGCCAAGACTTTTGCCACTCGTTTTAGTGGTAGTAGTTATTCTTCTAAGCCTAAATCACCCCTGAACGGGTTAAAATGAAGCTAATGTAATACTTTTCCCACTGTTACTTGGTCCCTAGGTCACAAAACCAAATTACAGGAGCATCCGAGCACTGATATGGGTGACTTGGGTATTTCGTATCAACAGTTGATGCTTTGGGCCCTAATGATTTTCTTCGACTTGAAAAGAAAAAAAAACGTGATGCCCAAATATCGAAAGTTGTAATAAAGAAAACAAACACCTAAGTGCAAGGGTAAACAATATGCATATTCTCCATTTCGTGTTATTTCCCTACTCAGCAACTTGCATACAGGATGTCTGAAACAAGGATTGTTTTATTGAAAAAATTGTGCAAGAGCTCTTGCTCGAAAAAGAGCGTTTTACTATAAAAAAATTTTTGTTTGCGTGTACCAATCTTATTATAATATATAGGAAGAGAATCCCTAACATTACCTAAATCCCTGGACTTATGCACTGACGTCAATTATCTCACAAAGCTCCTTTCGTTGACAATGTTTCTAATTTCAACTCGTGAGAGACGATTTGCGCGCCCGCTCCGGGATCTTTGATATTTTTTGTGTACGAAATGTCTGGCTTGTGATCACCTTACCTTTGTCGGAAATTTGGAAATTATGCTTGGAAAATTCCCTTGAATTTTCGAAATCTTCTAAGGGTATGTCTGAAGAGAAAAAGAAAATTCAAATGTATTTACAACCACACCAAAAGATCAGAATAACATAAATGATAACAAACAGCCGGACCACCACAAGCAAAAAAAAGCGTTGCTAAAGTACTTCCTGCCGAATTATAGGCAAGTAAAGGCAAAAAAATTCAGGAGTAAGCAATTTTATCTATGTAGTCCTGGGTGCTTGCAGAATACAACTAATTAACCACTTAAAGAAAGTGGTACAGCCTGAATCTAAAATGGCGCGTGCACATTTATCCGATCTTTTGGCCACATTCTGATTTATAGCTTCGCAACCATGATTATCCCATAAGCCTCTGCGCACCCGCTGTCGCCCCAGGCTTTCTCTCTTTTGAAGTAGACTTACCAAATGGTTCCTCGATGTCTTTTATTACTCCGTCCTCTTCATCCCCGTAGTCATGTTTCTCAGACTCACGCGGGAAATCTGAACGAAAAAAATTGAGGCCTATGAGTTTCTTCCAAAACTTCCCTACAAGTTTCTTTGGAGATCAAGTTGTCACTTAATTGTTAGATTTTTTTTTCCTAAATCTACAGATATTCTCAACAAAGAAGCATTTGGCTATACCATGTTTTTGACAATATTTAGGAGAAATCACTGAGTTTTAACGTTGTAAACATTTTTAACGGACTACTTAACCATAAATCTTAGTGCATACTACTGAGTAACTCATCCAAGGTTGTAACATTATACTAAAAACTGGTCCTGAAGTAACTAAGCTTTAAGATGAGTTCCACATGCACTATGGCCCTGTTAGGGTCTGTTGAAGTCCTAAATGTAATAACTGTCCTAAATGTAATAAAGTCCTAAATGTAATAACATTTGGTCCTAAATGTAATAAAGTCCTAAATGTAATAACATTTGGTCCTATATGTAATAAAGTCCTAGATGTAATAACATTTAGTCCTAGATGTAATAAGCCTCCAATGCAATTGTTTAACTCCTTCAGAGCATTGTTGTTATGGCGGACATCCACATTGAGATGTTAGTGACAGCTGTTGCACCAAAAAAACCGCTGACCAGTATACATGTCACATTACGGGCTCGCTGATATCAATCAGCGTTTTTTACTTGCTAGACATAAGAAATATCAGCAGTTGAAGTATGGTCCATAAAGCGGTTTATTGATCGAGTTAAAGAAAATCATTTCCAGCCCAAAGTAGGCTGGTGCTTGGCTGGAAGCTCAATAGGATGGAATCGATTGGTGCGTAATCATCAAGACTTTTTGGAAAAGAAATTGACTACAATTGATAATGAACTAGCATGCTATTGTTGATGTTATCGTTCGTGTAAAAGTCTTTAGTAGTTATGCACCATTTTAGAGGAGTTTGAATGATTTCGCTGTGTCACATGTTAATCCAAAAGAAAATTATTATTATCAGTAGCGTAACTGAAATTTTGCACATCAATGTTATTCAGTGTCAATTGATTTTAATGAAGCATTTAAGTTCATTTTTAAGAATGACTATCCTGATTTATTCAATTTTGAACCTGGGGTATTGGATTTCTGGCCCTCTATGGCTTTACTCCACATCAGTAATCAATTCATGTATCATATGACTATAAGTGGAAACTGTTGAGCTTTCTTTTTTCATTCATTTATTTATCTGTTCATTTTCTCCCCTCACGGCGGGGAGAAGAGATGAAGACAAAAAATGAAATATAAACTTGAGATCAACTGTAAAATATATTTTTCCCAATATTTCGGTTCGGGAACAGATGAACCCATCATAAAGTGCTAAAGGAAAAAAATGAATGGTTCATTAGACCGTCAACTGACCATCATGTGTTGAATGTTGTAGCTCAGTGGTTCAGTTTGACTCTTGCGTGGAAAAAAGGCAACATGTCGAGACCTGTGATCGTGAAATGGGATGACATATGATTGGTCATTAGATATCTTGCTCTGTAAGTCACTTTATCATATAGCTAACAGCGCACGCGGGCAAGATAAAGTGAATCCTGTGTTCTGATTGGCTACCTGAGTGGGTATGATAGGCCCACCCTTACCCGCTCGGGAATCCCCGTATTGATCCCACGCAAGAAAACTTGCAAAGTTCGTAACTTTTGGACAATGTTTGCGTATACATAGAAAAAGACAAACGACCCTCTTGGGTTTATTGTGCTGCAAACACAGTTGGCTTTCACTATCGGCTCTCAAAATAAACAGGCCATTCTTGATTCTTATCAAAGCGAAATCTTTTGCTATTCAATGAATCCTTTAATGATTAAGCCAAGAGAATATGAACTCTCTTGACCAAGCTTGTATGGTCAAGATTACTGGATGTTAGCCTCGTTCTTTTTCTACTTTTTTATGAACCGAGACTTCGCATGACGAGCTTTGAACACCAAAAGAATTCGGCCCCCCACCATCCACTCGAGGCGTTAACTTCTGTCAGTTATACTTATGGCTTTATTGACTTTTGTTGGATAAAATCAATTAACACGTTTAATATACAAAATATCAATTAGCACGTTTCATGAAATAATAACCCACGGCAGATCTTGCAATCAGTCCATAAAAACGCAAAAAAAAAACAAAAAAAAAAGAACTCGGCCAATATCCAGCCATTTTGACCTCACGCTTGGTCAATAACGCATATGAATATATTTTATGCAGACCCGTACAAATCTGGCTAGGGAAGACAGTACAAAAAATGCCCTTTCGAGCACAGAATTTGTCTAACGTATAAGTCGATGGACTTCCTTTTCCTTGTAATTCGGTTCATGAAGTGCTAACTTCAGCACCGATGACAAAGGTATATCGTCAAAATCTGTTACACTTAAGAGTCTGAGCCAATGATATAAAGAGAGCTATTGGTCAACGTTCTCATTGCTTTTGCGTCCGTCAATTTGATGCCAAAAGCACATCAGTATCACGAGTACGGTTTTGTAGCCAATGTTTCTCAACCTACGTCTTTAGCAAATAAAAAGACGCTAATTAATATCAGTGAGCCCGCAATATTCCATGAATATTGGACAGAAGATTCTTTGGTGCAACAGCTGTCACTTTGACATCTCAATCTTAGCGCAGTTAAACGATTGCATAGGAGGCTTATTACATTTAGGACCGAACGTTATTACATTTAGGGCTTTATTACATTTAGGACCAAATGTTATTACATTTAGGACTTTATTACATTTAGGACAGTTATTACATTTAGGACTTCAACAAGGGTCAAGCTTAAGTCATCCTTCATTCTTGTTGTATATTTGTGTATCTTGGTTGAGATTGTAGCCATTCCAGTTAAAAAATCGAGATTCAATGATGAGCCTCAGAGAAAAGATAATCTAAAACAATTTTTTTTGAATATCGATAAATAGTTTACTGTGTATGGTTCTATCAAGAAATTATAAACTGTTTGTAATCTCTTGGTCTTACATGATCACCAAGGAGATTAAAAGATTTGAGTGAACCTACTTTCATCTCTATAGCGAGATGTCAGAAGTGATTAACAGGTTCGCGAAAACTTAATGAAAATAAAAACTGGTCGGTAATAATATTCATCTTGAGCAAATTATCTTCCCTCCCCCCCCCCCCCCCCCTTAAAAAATGCGTGGCCAGAGAATGTTCAAGAAAGATACGTTTTGCCACAGCTTGCAAGTAAAACTCAGGTTTCAGATCCTTTTCATTAACCTGAAGACGGGAGAAATACAATGAAGACAATGAAGGTTGGGAGTCGGGAGGCGGGAGAATGTTGTGCGGAAGGAGCGAGACTGTGACCTCCCTGTCTCCCCCTCCCCCATATGATCACCAATGAGATCGAGTTAACTTACCCATATGTACTTTGATGTAGTCCTCCTCTCTTGGATCTGCGTTTGCGCCAACTAAAAACGTAGAAAAAAAATTAAATCACCTCAGCTCCACAATTAAAGTAGACTTATACACAGTATTACAAGCAATGTTTTGCAATTGGAAGACTGAAGAATTCTCAACAAAAGAAAAACGAAAGATTTCTTTCCATCAACATGAGGCAGGAGATTGTTACCAATGGAACAGTTTTAATTTTATATGCGTATTATGTCTCATAGCCTTTTGTTAAGCGAGTGAAATAAATATTAGAAAATAAACCTTAACAGGCAAGTAAGTGGCTAAAAGAATTCTCTGTAATCTTTATATTTTATTAAAGGATAGTGTATGTGCTCGACAAGTAAAAAAAATATTGAAATCATCTTTCTCATAAGTAGCCAGCTGAAGAGAGGATATATATCTTTTCAACAATTTCAATTCTACACTAATCAGAGACTTGAAACAAAATTGCAAACTGCGCTTCATTCAAGTTACTGTAAGAGTCTTCAATTGCATTCATTTTTTTAGGAGGTGAGATATTATTCATATTAAGGGAGTGGTAATTTCGAGCGTATATCATGACTACAGCATTTTTAATCCGGCAATCTGATCTCTGAAATGCCAGATAATGTGCAATGAATTCCAATGGCAACCTTTGGGCTTAAACGAGGAACATGAATACGAACACGAGTGAAAAAAAAATTTGGAAAAAACACTTACTTATAAATCGTCTGTTGTGGTCAGCATCTCCAGGATCTACCTTAGGCTTGAAGTGTGCGGCTGGAAACAATGTAAGAACGAAATGAATAAGATGAACTCCATTATGAGCTAAGACTATTAGATAAGATTACGAACTGTTTTCTGTAAAAACTAGACCCTCAAACCGAGCCCTAACTCCTGTGAAGAATTCATTCTTTTGGGAACAAGTTATTAATTATCACTTGGGGGGAGGGGGTGGGGATTGAGGTTGGGTCGTTGCGCCCGTTTAGGTTGAGTTCTGAAATGAGTTTCTCGAGGGCTTGTGACTGTCAGAAAGTCTAACAAGTTAAGGAAACTCTTTCGAATAATAGCTCCGAGTATTTTCCGAAGATTTTTCAACTCTAGAGTCGCGCACGGTTTGTGCCAGACCTCATTCGAAAACAAAAAGAACAGTAAAGTTCACTCTTAATTCAAATAAAAGCAGTTAATAGATGTTCTTAAGCTCCCTTTGTCCCCGTTCAAACCAAGATAACCAGACCGTTTCAAAATACGCTTAGGAATAAATTGAACAAATAGATTCCTGGTTGCCACAGGTTTGTTTAGTTTCAAATCCCAGACGTCAAAAGGGGTAAATACAAAAGAGTGGGACACAAGGCGCAGCCAAGTGTGTCACTGATGTTTTTGCCTTATTTCTAGGTCTTCTGTGATCTTTAACTGAACAGAACCTCGGCAACATGGAATCTATTTGTTTTATGAGGAATAAAAAAGCAAAATGTTTTTAATGGTGACGCTATTTATTTCATGATGATTCATTTCTTACCTGAGACACAGCATTCAAGAACACACACAGCCACGAAGGCAAAGGCAAAAACTACAGAAATCTTCATTGATTTCTCTGTTTAACTGTCTTGGATACCTAAAAGAAAACAAGAAGATTTGATAATGGAAGGCTTGTCGTTTTACCTGCGCAATTTAACGGTCATCTTTGCGCAAGTGTCTAGATAAGCGATTATAGTTGCGTTAGCAAGCGTGGAAATGATCAAGGTGGGGATGACGTCTTTCCTTTCTTCCAAGACCAAGCAGGCGAACGAGTGAACTGAAAATCCAACGACTATCGCGCAAAAGAGTCCAATTCGAGAATCATAATGATAAATCATGGTGGTATAGGCTTTGAACAAAAATTCATAAAGCAAAAAGGCGCTGCTCTTGCATAAAGGCATGCCTTGAATTTTGCCGCGATTCCCACCACTGTGCATGTTACGAGCAGTTTTTTTCGCCCAGAAAAAACAGTCTCTTTGGTAAATTACCTGATTTGAAAAAAAATAGCCTTAGCTCTTCATATCTCGTTAACAAAAAAGGAGAATGCGTGATACAGAATCAAAAGCAAACTTACTTTGCACAACCGACTCGTTTCAAGAGTATGAAAGTCTCTTGAATTTTCCAAAGTAGCTCTAACAAAACTGAACAACTTGTGGTCAAGAGAGAAACTTAACAGCCTTTTTAAATGAATCTAGAGTCAGCTAGAGTTTGTTAAAGGAGGTTCGATCGCTTTTGTGTTTATTTAGCCTCAAGCGATAAACAATTGAGTGTTGTTTTACTGGCTATCGTGCACACTTTGATGACTTTGTTTTTATCAAGTACTGTCATCCTTTATTACAGTCACAGCTACCAGAAATTATCAGTTTTCCTGAGTATCCTATCAACATAGCTTTCCAGAGTTAAACTTAAAATGTTGACGATGTCAAAGGGGTTTTTCCAAGAAAAATTTAAATCAGCTAACATGACTAGGGAGCTCTCTTTTGCCATTCGGAATGGACGATGCTGAAAGACACTTCCGAATTCTTTCTGACATTATTTAGAGGTCATTCAAAAATGAATAGGCAAGCTTATTGAAGAAAAAAATAACTAGGGAGTTAAGCGTCACATCCATGAAAATGAATCCATTTGTCTTTATCATAACCCAATACTAAAGAGGTATAAGTTATAACGCAGAGGCACTACTTGACAGGATTAATACTATGAAATTGGGAAATCTGATAGCTTTCAAATGTAACATGGTATGATTGTTGCCAACATTTCATTTAATTCCATTTGCGTGATAAAAATGTACGTTTGTTCAGTGGTACGATGATTAAGTTTACAGAGAGTACAATAATGGTAAACAATTACTGACTTTTGAATAAAAAAAAATTCCTTGCAGGAACTATCAACAAATAAACTCTATCGGGAAGAAGTTGAATAAAACATTCCTTCGGAAAAAGGGATGATTGTTAATTGTTTACAGAAAGAAAGTTCTGCTCTCCTATCTTTCTCACGAAGATACTTCTGCTCACCGATTAATGGAATTTTTCTCTCAAAATATTTTGCTTTGTGGTAATTTTACCCGATTTAGATCACATACTGTTACCCTCCACTGCTCAGTGATCAACAAGCATCATTTGGTAACAAAGCTCTGCAGAAATTAAACTCAAAATGCTGTTACATGAACAAGGTTTTTTTTTTATGTAAAGATAAACTCTAATTCAGCTAACATGGCTAAGAAGCTAGCCTACGTGCCTCTTTTGAACGGATAGTACCGACAAACACTTGTCTCTTTTTGACATTACTCAGATGTCATTCAGAAATGAATAGGCAAGCTTATTGAAGCAAAAATAGAACAAAAAAGGGCATCCACTTCCGGAGCTGACAACTGTCATATGAAAATGAATCCCTGCGTCTGTATCTTACTGGCATGCAAAGTTTAACTTAATTTGAGTTGCTTTTTGGCGTAAGTTTGTTTACGCGGAAAAAAGGGATGCTTGTCAATCGTTAGTGCGAAGAAAGTTCTCTTAGCCCATTTATCTTAAGAAGACACTTTTTCTTACAGGCTGTTAATGTTTTTTCCTCAATATATAGCTGTTTTGCTCTTTGGTAATTTAACGCGACGTAGTAATTCCTGACTATCGTGCGTAGTGATTATGAGATCACGTACTGTTACCTTTCGTTGCCAACTGACCAGAAAGTATGATTGGAATGAGTTCGTATTAGCAAAACTCTCAAGAAATGAAACTCAAAATGCTGTTCATGTACAAGGCTTTTTTTTTGCGGAAAGGATTTAAACTCAGTTAAATTTTTACTGACGAGGTGTTAATAGGCGTCAGATAGTAAGCCGTTAACATCACGATTTAAAGGAACGTGGGCGGAATTGATATGCAAACAAAGGCGCTGGTGGTAACGTCGATTAGTGTGATAATTTTACTTCAGGAACTAATTGAATAAAACACACTTCTTCGGACCGAATGTTTTTAGTCGTTTTAAACCCTTTTCATTTTTCAGCTGAAATAACACAGTCTTACGCATCTGATTTGCAGGATAAAAGGCCAAGTGCAAAGATGACTCCAAACGTTCTCTCTTTTGCATAAGAATTTTAGGTTTTCAACTTAATAGTATCCATGATCGACTATTATTGGCATTACACCCAGTGTAGCATGACTCGTAACACTTGTAAAGTTCATTTTCTTTTTGTCAGTATATTATCTGAGTGGGCAAATCAGTAAGCTTGCAAATTTTATTCCAGAAGTTACGAGTCTCTTTCAAGATTCAACCATTTTTTTTGTGATAACTCTACACGATTTATGGCGCACAACCATGGGCGTGCTTTTTAGCGTCAAATCAATTGTTTACACGAAAAAGCTGTTAGTTGTCAATTGTTGATAGAAGGAAAGTTCTGCTCGTCTATCTTTCCTTGGTGACACTTCTACTCACTAATTTTTAGTATATTTTTCTCAACATAAAGCTGTTTTTCTCTGTGGCAATTTTATGTGGTTTAGTACTGAGTTCCTGAATATCGTGCGTAATGATCATGCCTGTCTCGATGCACGAGATCACATAATGTTTACCCTCCACTGCTCAGTGACCAAGAAGCTTCAATTGGTGACAAAGCTCTTCAGAAATGAAACTCAAAATGATGTTCCTGCATGTACAAGCTTTTTTTTTGCAAAAAAATATTTAACTCAGGTAACATGGCAAAGGAGCTAACTTATGTTAACTTATAAATAGCTAAGCTTATTGAAGCAAAAGCAATCTAAAACAGGACTTCAACTTTCGGAACTAACAAACAGTGACATAAAAAAAGAAGTCCCTTTTTCGGTGTCTTGATGGAATACTTAAGTGCCGCTCTCGCTAAGAACGGTCCTCTCGACATCCCGTCAGAAAAAATTTCAATTTTTAATTTTAACCCATGAAAAGGGTTTAGGACACATGTTTCGAAAATAGTTTAGTTGTTCTCCAATTCTCTTTTTTTGCGTCGTCATAAGCCAAAAATGATTCTTGGCCGGACCACCCCTGTCGACAGTGATCGAAAGTGTAAATTTCACAGTTTTGTCCAGCGCGCAGTGACTGCAATAATATAGCTCACGGAATTCTATCTTACTACAAGTTACAAGATGCATTCAGTTAGTTTACAGACATAATATACGGGGAAAAATTTCTCAGTTCTGATTGATTAAGATAAATGCAGTTTTCAGGTAATTGAGTGCAGAAGAGAGTTAATTCAGTGCAGAAGAGGGTTAATTCAGTGCAAAGAAAGAAACGAATCAGACATTCTGATTGGTCAATAATCAATGAAACTCACAGATAACCAATCAAATGCGAGCCTTGGATGTCGCAACAAAATTTGACAATTTGAAAATTTGCGAGCGGAACAATAGCCGGCGTTTTAAGTAGGCTTTCTTTCGTCACCGCAGCTGAAAAACAGCTTAAACAACGAAAACACTGTAAAAAGCACTGCTTTTTGGTTGTCAGTTTGGAAAAAGTGGTGTTTAGAGAAGGGAATTACCGAGGAAATCGAAAATTACGCCCTATGGGCTCGTGCAATTTTGTTAGTCTTTAAAAAAATTTACTCGTGCTTATTTATTCCAAATTGCACTCGAAATCATGTGATTACCTATACAAATATGGAAACTTCAGCTGAACTTTTTTTATACCAGCGTGATCAGAGGAGAGCCTTCTCTTCGACTATAATTTGCATATCAAAAAATTCACTCGTTTGTACGAAAGAATTCTCAAAATGCAGGCGTTGATCGGGCTGAAAAAGCATATCAGTGCATATTTTATACACCAATGAGATCACCGATTACCTCAAACCCGCGGGCATATCTCTAGCTTTCATCCACTAACAGCTTAAAAACAACGCAAATCCATATGTTTGATCAATCGCGGTCGTGTCAAAGATCATTTGCATAATTCTGACCGTTCAGACTTCGTTCGTTTATCTTCTTGAGGATTTTAGGTTTTCATAAAAAATGAATGGAGAATAGATACCGAGTTGTCCTAAAACGATGCGTAAACGTGATCGGTCGTAACGCTTGCGCGACTTACTTTTGAACTTTAATATATTTTACTTTTGAAAGTAAACAAAGGTGATCGGAAGGCGCCTCCTCGATAATTTGCGTTGAAATATCAGATTGTTATATCGATCGCTGTCCACAGGGGTGGTCTGGCCAAAAAACATTTTTGGCTTGAGACGACGCAAAAAAAGAGAATTGGAAAACAACTAAACTACTTTTGAAACATGTGTCCTAATTAACAATTGGTTCATATGTCAGCGTGCGTTCATCGAGATATGAAGCACGCGGGAAGTTTGGAGAGCACGAAAGATGCGTAAGAGCAACTGTAGCTTCTTAAGTGCTCTCCAAACTTCCCAAGTGGTTCATATCTCGATGAACGCACAGCTGACGTATGAACCAATTGTTTTGTAACATTTTCAACCCGAAGGAAAATTTTTTTCTCGAGGGATTTGTTTGCTGACGTCATGAGCGTGCACAATAGGAATACGAAGCACGCTCGCGCAAGTGAATTTGATTAGACAAATTTACTAGCTATGTTATAAACCCTTTTCATGGGAAAAATAAGAGAAAACTTTTCTCCGACGGGATGTCAAGAGGACCGCTCTGAACGAGAGCGGCACTTAATTATAGCTCAGAGACTCTATTTGACATGATCAGCATTGCTATTAACAACGATTAACAGCTGTCATCAAGAATTGTTATATACCTAGACTTTCACCCAACAAAACGAGCACTGTGATTGGTTGATTCTTAGTCATGTGCCCCTGATCAAATTCAAATGTATCCCGACCGGGATACAATTGCGCAGTTGTTTCCCGCGCGCCGAATACAACAGGATGTTTTTGCCATATGATTGTTTATGGGAACGTCTAAGTTCATAACAAAGGACTTACTGTATGGTCTCTCGAGACTGTATGCTTTCCCTCGAGTTCTGAAAAGGACTTTCGGGAAAACAAAACTAACTGTTTCCCTCGGGACCACACATTAATTGAATGTTGCAACACTTAAAAAAAGTAACATAGCATCATTATTTTTGGGCAGAGAAATTATATTCATTTATATACGTTTAATTAATTTTTTTTTAAAATAAGAGCCTTTTTTAGTGTTGCAAGAAGAGAGTTTTTAAAGAGTACAATAGCAATAGATTATAACTGATTGAAAAAAAAA